GAAGTAAAGCTGAATTTAGATTTCTACTATCTATTTTTCATGGAAACCTGAATTCTAAAACTATGTAAATATAAAACCTCTTAACTGGTTAATCGTACGATCATTTCCAACCTCTATTATTATGCAAATAAAGTATCTTTTTTTAAAACGGCTCGGTATTAAAAATAATCAACCCTCGCCGGAGTGGCAAGTTGAAGGCGTCGGGTTGAACTCCACGGGGGGTTGTTCAGCTCGGCACACGTGCCGACGCCGCTATTTCACCTGTGTTTACATGTAATTTACTGCCGACCGTAAAACGACAAGCGCGGAGAATCAATATCTGGCCGTGATTATCTCGTCCAATTGAAATGCTCGTTTCTGTTCGACCCTCTCTACCCTCTCGAGTAGCCTTGCCGATTACTCACGCTGAAATATCTCGCAAAATAATTCCAATTATCCTCTTTCACGCGATGAAATAAAACAGACCGATAGAAGGCAAGATGAATTATCATATAAAAAGCCTGGCGAGTATCAATAATTCTGATTTGATTAAATAAAATTAATCAACTAAGTAAAAGCTTGTAAATTTCATGCTGGTAATTAATTAATTCCTTCACTCCAATATTTCCATTGCTTCGCCTCGTGAGTAATGAAATGGGTAATTGAAATGCAGAGAGAGAGAGAGAGAGAGAGAGAGAGAGAGAGAGAGAGAGATTTCGCGATCTCACGTGGCGAACGAGAACAGAGAATTAGAATTGCAATTTTTTAAACGCTCGAGCACGAGGCCGTTCGAGTATCCGGATAATATCTAAGTTCATACAGGAGTCGACGAAACGCGTGGGCGGGCAGGGGTGAGATTTAAGGGGTTGCCACTTGTCGAGGTTGCCGCGTAACCGCGACGCTTGATTTACTGGCTCGATAACTGGGCACCATTAATATCAGCCACCGGAAACGCGACCAGAACGATCCCGACACCCGGCGTCCAACTCCCCCCTTCCCGCGCGAGAAAATAAATTCTTTTTAATTACAGAATTCAACGGCGACTCGCCAGCCGGAAACTGAAAAGTTGATGGGCCCGAATTCGTTAATTCCGCATGCGTTTAATTGCGCTCTAAATAAACACGTGCTTCCACTTTTCCCCGTATGACCACTCGAAACGAATCGTTCGACGCCGGAAGTGGCAACCTTTCCCAACGGTTTAACAACGTCCAAGCTTTTCCAAATTACATTCTTTTTTTTTTTTCACTAAAATGAATGTTCCGCAGTTCCATTAGTGATTGGATTTATTCAAGAAGTACTAAAAGAACATCGAGAGTCACAGTAAATAATCAAACGAATTCTCAAATAACTGCAAACATAGACGAAGCAATAAACGAAATTGAAAATGAATCCTTTTACTAAAATTAGTTATAAAAATTGTATTAAAATAACTGCAACTCGATCAGACGAAAGTTAATAAAAACAAAATATGAACGAATTAAGAAGAGAATTTGGTAAATTATTCTAATAAATGAAACAGGTAATCTTTCTAATCTGATGCAGAGAGGCTTTCCATGGGTCCGGAGGAAACCGAGTTCGGGTGTAATCTCGGCAACGGCGGGGCGATAGAATCGCGGAACACATTTATAATTAACCCTAAAACGCGGCGTTATCACGGATCTGGGTCGGTAATTATGAACGAGCGTATGCGAATGCCGATGCACGGCTCTTGGAGCCCCGGGGGCGGAGATCGATCGAACACCCTCGGCCGCAGGTATTCTGAATTTTTCAGCTCTGCCCCGCGTCTTCCGCGACGCGGCTAAATTATTTATTTTGACGTCACGCCAATACCGCGGCTGGCCAAGGTCGCAAGGACCACCGAATTCCCTGCCGTACTGCGTCAGACTGGTCACCAGTGCATTAACAGAAGATCAGCTTTCAAACTCTTCAGACTCTTCAAATGGATAATTATGGAATAATTTTGTGAACGTCCTGAATTTAATCC